ATATTGTCATGGACTAAATTGACCCCTGTCTTGACATTTTTTGTTTTTATTTGTTGATTTTGTGCAGTGTGAAGTAATTACATTGATTAGATCTGATAAAAACACAAATTAGAGAAGTAAACTGAATCATTGCGCTTGCTTTTGTCTGACAAAAGCAAGACAGAGACGGATCGTGGTGCGCCAAACTCTGGAAGTTTATTTAAGTTTCTCTGAAGTTCCAGTGGTTTCAATTGTTTCTTTCTCTCAGACAGAATGGAGTCGGTACATGTTATATATAGTCATTGTCACGTCACACATGGAAAGACGTACGTGTCACACAGAGACAGTCATATCATAGTCAAAATAATCAGAGTCCTTGTACAGTCCTGCACGTAGGCCATATTGCTATCTAATACTAACAACTGAGATAGGATTTTAGTTATTGGAGTGATTAATGACGTGCCAAGTTCCTTCAGTGCACATGGGTCTATACCACACGGTTCATATCCACATGGACAGACCCAGGACTGAGGCTGTAGACCAAGGACTGAGGCTGTAGACCAAGGACTGAGGCTGTAGACCCAGGACTGAGGCTGCAGACCCAGGACTGAGGCTGTAGACCCAGGACTGAGGCTGTAGACCAAGGACTGAGGCTGTAGACCCAGGACTGAGGCTGCAGACCCAGGACTGAGGCTGTAGACCCAGGACTGAGGCTGCAGACCCAGGACTGAGGCTGCAGACCCAGGACTGAGGCTGTAGACCAAGGACTGAGGCTGTAGACCAAGGACTGAGGCTGTAGACCCAGGACTGAGGCTGCAGACCCAGGACTGAGGCTGCAGACCCAGGACTGAGGCTGCAGACCCAGGACTGAGGCTGTAGACCAAGGACTGAGGCTGTAGACCCAGGACTGAGGCTGCAGACCCAGGATTGAGGCTGTAGACCCAGGACTGAGGCTGTAGAAATGGCTCCATAGGGTTTTAATTGCAGAACTCAATGTTTGATGTTGAAAGAGAACAATGTCATTTCTCACTTCTACCACCATCAGTGTCAAACATATTATTTGATTTGTGTTTGTTGCAGATCTACAAAGTCCATCTACAGAATGGGGTTCACCTGTGATCAGTGTGGAAAGACCTACAGCTCTGCTTCTGATCTAAAGACCCACCACAGAACTCACACTAGAGGAAAACCGTACAAGTGTGGTCTGTGTGGAACATGTTTTTCTAAAAAAAGAGATCTCATGGCCCACGGCAGAATCCACACTGGAGAAAAACCCTTCAGCTGCGACGATTGTGATAAGAGTTTTAGACAAGAGAGTCATCTCAAAACTCATCAGATGATCCACACAGGAGAGAAACCATTTGAGTGTGACCAGTGTGAAAAAACATTTAGGACAAAAGAACACCTCTCAGTACATCAGCGTGTCCACACAGGAGAGAAACCTCACCAATGTGACCAGTGTGAAAAGTCTTTTACACAATTATCTAATCTCACTATGCACTACAGAATCCACACTGGAGATAAACCATTCGTCTGTGGAGACTGTGGGAAGAAGTTTAATCAGTCTTCAAACTACAAAACACATGAGAGAATCCACAATGGAGAAAAACTATTTGCATGTGACTTCTGCAGTAAAACTTTTAAAACAGCATCACAGCGCACAGTTCACCATCGGCGCCACACTGGAGAGAAGCCATTTGTTTGTGAAAGGTGTGGAAAGTCTTTCGCACAAAGGTCACATCTTCGTAAACACATTAAAACCTGTAGAGAAGAAGGTCTGAAGACGCAGCATCTGGAACAAAGTGAAGGAGACAGAGCTGAGGCTGCAACACGTGAACCCAGAGTCAGACTGTACAGGATCACACTGCAGTCTTAACTCTTCTCCTCCTCCTCCTCAGGGTTTCGGGTTACTTCCTGTTTTGTTTGAGCCGTAGACCTCTGTGTCGTCAGATCTCTCCCCTCCCTCCCTCTTCTCTCTCCCCTCTCCCTCCTCCCTCCCCTCTCTTCTCTCAGTTTGTATCTTGTAAATTCTTGTTGTCGTTAAACTTCTTTGTTTTGACCTCTTTCCATGAATCAAAACCAGATTTTCATTTTAACGTTGAATAAACTTTGTTCATAGTGTTTTGTCTTTTTATTCTGAGTGGAGCTGCTGCAGTGTGGGTTTAATCATCCTGTAAAAGATATGTACAAACTGTTAGTGCCCACTTCTTTTCCTAGGATGCTGTAGGAACTCATCACCTCCATGTTGTCCTCGACCCACAGCACTTTGTACCGTCGGTCACAGCCCTCGCCTCAGCTGACCACTCCTGCCAGTCTCCACTCCCCCAGAGCTGACACACCAGGGGCCCCCCACTGTCCCCCTGCAGGAGCCACACACTATTCATTTAATGTATTCATCTATAATCCCACACTCTGACACACTACAGACACAAGCTACAGCCAGAGTCCTCCCTCCTCCTTCTCCCCTCCTCCCTCTCTCTTCCCTATCTTCTTTACCCGGCAGGAGTCCACGCCTCCCCTGTTTTGAGGGAGTTTCCTTTGTTTTCTTTTCCTCGGCATTAGAGACCGGCATGCTGTGTCTGGGAGCGGAGATTCCAGCAGGCTGGAAGAGCTGTTCCTGGATGCTTCTTGTCGCTTCTTTCACTTGCGTTTAAATCAAGGGCGTAGGTTTGCGTGGGGACCATGGGGACATGTCCCCACCAATATTTGGTGAGGACTAAAAAGTCCCCACCAAAATGACATGATGTCCCGGGACCCGGACGGTCCGGGACACATGTCTTCCGTTTGTGCACACGTCGCGCCTCCTCCTCGCCTCCAGAGCAACAGCAGCAGCAGCAGCACGTGACCCGTTCCGTTCTCTGCAGTGATTGGCTGTCTTCTTCAGCGCCAAAATGAAGCACTGAGCGACTGTTTAATTTTTAAAGGTTAGCCAGCGTGAAGCAAGTGTTTTTTTTCGTTCCCTGAGCGTTGTAGCACGTGAGTAATCAGAGGAAAGTACTGTAGATCTATTACCATTCAAAGTACTTACGTTATTTCTAATCTGTCAGCGCACTGTTTAATGTTCCGAGGAGCTCACACGGCACAGAGACAGAACAGAACTGGCTCCAATAAAGAAACAGGTTGGTTGAAAGGCTGAAAAAATACTTATTGTGCTCTTACTATCCAAAATGTATAAGTGGGTGTGTTGTGTGAATCAGGATAAACTAGGGATGAAAATATTCCACGGATCCACGATTTACAACCTTTATCTGCTGATAATGTAATTTCTGTGAAATGTGTGACAGCACGTCCTGGTGCAGCTGCTGCCGCTTTGTAATGACAGCCGCGGCGCTCAGTGAAAGCACAGCTCTAACATGGTACCGAGCTCGGACCATATGCAGACAGAACCATGTTGCAAGTGCGGGTCTCCCTCGTATCTCCCCCGTTTCTCCCCTGTGTCTCTGACATGTCTCTCCCCTGACTCTTCCCAAAGCGCAACCAGCGCTCCCGAAATTAAAGCTCGGATACCCAAATTTTCCATTGCGTTAACGATGCATGCTGGTTGTGCGCAAAACACACCACAACAGGTCATTTAAGTTTTTATTTTGCATACTTGAGAGCCCTGTGAGTCCTTACTTGCCTTTTTGGGTTGAGAGTGGAATTAAAAAAAAGAAAATATAGAAAAATCCACACTGTTACTTATTGCCAAACTCTTGTTAACTCATTGTATTGAGAAATACTATGTAACTTTTGACATTGGCCAAGTTATATAAATGATTCTGCAGTTCATGTATATGAATGTCTGTTTTTGATTGTCTATACCTTCTTATATAATTTAGAAAAAATGCCACCTCCACAAAAAAAGATAAAAGATATCAGGAGCTTTTTTAACAGTTGGAAAGTAAGTAAGAGAAAGCACAAGTAATAGCAAATTATGAATTGTGATGATTAATCTTCTGTTAACATACATAGGACACTCAACCAACAAGAGAGAACAATATAGGGAATGTTGAGGTAGAAGCAACAGGCCCTTCAGTGCATCAGGCGAGGTTGGAACTTTGTAGGTATGCATGGGACTATGAATTGTTTTTAGAGATTGATCGTATATGTCAAACAATGTAGTGAGCTACTCACTGTAGATTCTAATTCAATATTTTCTCCTCTGTTTTTATTTATTATAGGAAATTGAAAGATCAGAGCATGATTTATTTCAAGTATCGAGAGCAGTTCCTGAACTGTTAGAGCCTCAGGTGAGGGCTATTATGTAGATTTGGATTAGGTTTAAGTCAGTATAGAATGAACGCAACACAAAACTCAGAAGCTCTGATCCAATTTATTTTGTTTTAACTATTAGAAAAAATCCTTAACTGCTTCTCATTCAGTCTACAGCTGAGTTTAGTATAGAAGGCAACACACTATTGCAAATATAGTGTGTGATTACACAACAAATTCTGGGGGAGAAACTCTGGACCCCGTGTCAATGGGTGTAGACTCAGGTCGTAGTGAATGTCCCCACCAAGATTGGAACCAAACCTACACCATTGACGCTATGTACACAGGAATATGTTTAAACCGATACCCTGCAGTCTTTCCCCCCCTCTCGCTGACAGGCCTGATCCAAGTAACCGGAGCCCCGAGCTGTCCGAAACCGGGGAGTGGGCCGCAGATGGCCTCTGGGTGGTGAGTCGAGAGCCAGATGTACTTGCGCATCCAGTCCAGGCTGACGACCCTGCTGTTCGGCCACCAGCCCCACTAGCGGTCAGCTCCGCCCCCGGGTCACGGGTTGGACTCCTACCAGCCCCACGTACGGTCAGCCCTGCCCCCAGCTCACGGTTGGGACCACCACCAAGACGCTCTACCCGTCAGACAGCCGGCCAGCATCCTAACCCTAATAACCTGCCAACAAGCGTGCAAAGTAGGGCTAGTAGGGCTGCAACTTTCCATTAGGTTTGAAATTGTTGGGACACCAATTTAAAGAACCCGGGGGTAGATGTAGCGGCAGGTAGTTTGTCCCTTCCTGGCTACCATACACTACTGCACACATGCCCCTCCCCTCACATTTCCGTATTGGCTCAGTAGCGATCAGCAACAGTACTTATAGACACCCCAGTGCACAGGAAGGTAAGCTGCTGTCAGGCTTCACTCGTTCTGCCAGATCTCGAGTAGCTGCCGGGTAGGTGTTCCCTGTTGTTGTTGTACAACGTCAGCCGTAGGTTAATGGGAGTGTTTCTTCTTCCTTTGTTGCAGACGCTGTTTAGCAGCCTCCTACCACGGCCACTGGTTAAAAGTCGTGCGTGGCCATGTCTCCTCACTAACTTTGTACATAGTGCTCATGGTATTATACACTGTTGTGCTCTTTTTGTTTGTGTAGTTATGTGGCATGAAACTAATAGCCATTTTGTTTCATAGATGCTGTTGGCCACTGCTGTTTTGTTTGGGTTTTCATTTAAGTATTGTCTTGTTTTGGTTTTTGTCTTTTTGTTTAGTCTTATCATTGACTTAGAATAATTTTGTTTAAGGCATAGCTATTTAATTTTGTTTTGTTCTCCGTTACCAATTTGCCCCTAAGATCTGCATTTCTTCCCCTAAGGTCTGGTCTGGGCGTGGTCGTCCCTGGTGGAGGTTTGGTGGCGGAGTCTCACGTCAGTCCCCCTCACTCCTCGTATGTTTTGGTATTGTTGCACGCCCTCACTTTCACGTTTCCTTAGTTTCCCCGTGTGTGTGTGTGTGTGTGTGTGAGTGTTCACGGAGCTGCAGTGGGTGCTCCGGCCCATGTGCTTCTGCCGTGTGCGGCTGCGACCGACCTACCTAATTAATGCAGTTTTATCTCTAACTAATTGGCTTTTAAATACCGTTTTTAACTAGCTTTTTGTGCTTAATAAATATTAAACTTTTATCCTTGCCTCTGCCTCATTTTCATTGCCATTTGCAATCCTGAACCTAAAGTAACTAGGTACGGTTACATATAGGAAATTGAAAGATCAGAGCATGATTTATTTCAAGTATCGAGAGCAGTTCCTGAACTGTTAGAGCCTCAGGTGAGGGCTATTATGTAGATTTGGATTAGGTTTAAGTCAGTATAGAATGAACGCAACACAAAACTCAGAAGCTCTGATCCAATTGATTTTGTTTTAACTATTAGAAAAAATCCTTAACTGCTTCTCATTCAGTCTACAGCTGAGTTTAGTATAGAAGGCAACACACTATTGCAAATATAGTGTGTGATTACACAACAAATTCTGGGGGAGAAACTCTGGACCCCGTGTCATTGGGTGTAGACTCAGGTCGTAGTGAATGTCCCCACCAAGATTGGAACCAAACCTACACCATTGGTTTAAATTGAATTTTCCGACGCGGAAAAGAGCTGGCAGACCTCTTGGACAGTCCTTGGAACCGGTTTGACAAGAATAAGGTAAGCAGACACCTTTTTATATGTAAAGTGCATAATTGGATACTGTTTTTGAGGTCTGTCGAACTCTCTAAATTGTGTTCAGATAAAATGAAGGATCAAAAAGTGTTGGCCATAAAGTGTAGGATCCTTAGTGAAACCATGGTGTAAAAATAAAAGCAATTTTTAAAAAGGGAAACGTGTAAAGGAGGCCTTTTGTCACAAAAAGTTTTGTAATTAACCAATCCCAGGCTTGATAAATGACAAAAGTAAAGAAGCAACAATATGTTACATTCAGTGATCACGGTTTAAATTACATACAGAAAAAGGGAGTTTTTGTTTTTAATTTGTTTTCGGTGTGAACAGAGATCACCGGAGAACGCAAAGTTTTATCTACATTTGAGCTTTAGCTTTCGTGAGTTATTTACATTTTTGTCGCGGCTCGAGCTGTATCCAACAGTTGTTTTTTGTTTTTTTTAGAAAGAGATTTTGAGTTTAAATTAGTTTGCTTCCTCGATAAAATAGAAGGAAACGTTAAACACTAAGAGGGCCTTTTGTTACTAGTGTGGAAAGTGATCATTTCTAGACTTGGATGACAAAAGTATAAAGAACATCAGTTATATTTGCTTAAAAAAGTAATCTTGAAAGTTCTTCTTTCTGTTTTTGCATTTTTGCTAAAACACTACTTTCTGCCTGTGTGTGTGCACATCTCTATCTTGCTGCAGTTGTCTTTCCATGTGTGACGTGACAATGACTATATATAACATGTACCGACTCCATTCTGTCTGAGAGAAAGAAACAATTGAAACCACTGGAACTTCAGAGAAACTTAAATAAACTTCCAGAGTTTGGCGCGCCACGATCCGTCTCTGTCTGCTTCATCCCTGACAGATTTGGTGGAGGAGGCTCAGTGTGCGCCATTCTCTGGTTGTTTTGAGGGAGTTTCCTTTGTTTTTTCTTTTCCTCGGCGTGGGAGAGCTGAGAGTGTCGGGGGCCTGGGAGCGGTCCAGCAGGCTGGAGAGGCGACCGGCTCCGGGACTTTTTTGCTTTCTCACTATATATATATATTTTTTTGTCCTCTTTTTTGGACTGACTAAGCTTTTAAAATTGTTTTCCCAAGTTCACATTCCGGGGATTTCTGACGTGACTACTAGTGAGCGCTGGTTCATGTCCTGGGAGACCCGGTTGGACGTAGAAAAGCTGATATTTGGTGGACTTCTGACGGTGCCTGGGCCCTGTTCGACAAAAGGTAAGAGCGGACACCTGTTTATTCAAAGTCTGCTAATTGAGTGAACTAAATTATGGTCTGTTTTGAGGTCTGTCGAACTCTCTAAATTGTATTCAGATAAAGTATATCTTATATCTATATATAAGATTAGAGAAAAAGGAACCCCTTGATGTATCGGGGTCCCTGTCCTTTGGAGTAGCCGGGGCAGAGAATAGAGAATAGAAAATAGTTAGTGAAACCATGGTGTAAAAATTAAAAAGTAATAAAAAAAAGGGAAACGTTAAACACTAAGAGTGCCTTTTGTTACTAGTGTGGAAAGTGATCATTTCTAGACTTGGATGACAAAAGTATAAACGACAACATCAGATATATTCGCTTAAAAAAGTAATCTTGAAAGTTCTTCTGTATCTTTGCCTGTGTGTGTGCGCAGCTCTATCTCGCTGCCGTTGTCAGGGAAACGGCCCCCTCCTTCGTTACTCCGGCTCTGAATCAAAACAAACCTGCGTTTAGGATTTTGGCTTTTCAAAGTTGTTATTCCGTTAAATTTGCTAAATTTGCAATTGAACATTGTGTTATGACACAGTTAACCGTTTTTAAACACATTTAGGGAATAGAAGTTTTGAATCATTATGTTTTGTTTTAATGTTTTCCAAATTAATTTTCATTTTTATAGAGATTTTTCATAATTTAATCCGCCTAATTCTTTCAACTATTGACCCAGAGGGCACTGAAACCCGAAGAAGTAGAAGACTGCATAGACGTACTTTGCAAAGGGGCCAAATTTTGTATGGCATGTCGATTCATACGACAAACTGAAACCCTTTGGCATATGTATTAACGGAGCCATTGATGGATTTTCAAGAAGGATGCTATGGCTGAATGAATATGTCAAACATAGATTTTAGCCTGGGACTCCAAATCTAAAGCCAGTTTTATTTGAGTGTAGTGCTTTTAGTGTGACCTTGTTTTTAGTAGTTTTATATACTGACTTTGGCTTGAGCCTGGGACAGTCCTGATTGATAGCCCTCCCCCTCATGATTGATTGGTCGGACTGGAGGACTTTCCCCTTTGAAAAACCCGGGCAGAGGGACTGAGGGAAGGAAGGAAATCGGAAGCGTTACGGGGGACGAGGACAGAGGACAAGGGGAAACAAGGACCAGCACGCACCAGGACCGGCACGCACCAGGACCAGCACGCACGAGGAGCAGCACGCCCCAAGGAGAGACCTGCAGAGCCCACATACAACGCCCCGTAAAGCTGAGTATGCAGGGACGTGATCAAGCAGCCGAAGCCTAGTTTATACTTGCGCGGCGCGGAGCTTACGGAGGTGACGTGACGTCACTTGCGCAACGCGTTGGTCACCGCAAGGCCCTTACGTCGCCTGCGCGCAGCATCGAAATTTTCTAACTACGTAAGGGTCGCCGCAAGGAAGCTCCGCTGTGATTGGTCCGTGTGTGTGTATTGGAAGGAAGCACGGAGCGGCTGCAGCAGGAGCATGGACGAGGAACTATGGAGCAGAGAGCTTTGTGCTACGAAGGAAAAGCAGTTTGGGCTCAGAGCCTGATATACAGGAGACAGTGGACTATCTAACATCTATATAACTTATAAACTGTGCAGTCGTTTGTTTTGCACTGTTCCTGTCTTTGTTTGAATCGTAGCTGCGTTTGTTGCTTTCCTCCTGCACTCGTAAATCGTTCATGTTTGTCTCAGATATTTACCACTATTATTGTTTTGCTGTTTGTGCTGAAAACTATTTAAAAAAAAAAACAAAAAACAAAACATCGGTTTTATATAGCGCTTTTTTGGACACTCAAAGACGCTTCACATGTGTCATTATTCATTCACTCCATACACGGTGGTGATAAACTACTAATGTAGCCACAGCTGCCCTGGGGCACACTGACAACAGCGAGGCAACCAGTCTGTGCCATCGGCCCCTCCGACCACCACCAACCATTCACACACACACCAGACTCATTCTAGGCAATGGGGGTGAAGTGTCTTGCCTAAGGACACAACGGCAGTTTGGCACTTTACAGCCGCAGCCGCCCCACTGTGGCTGGTGTTCCCAGAGGTTAAGTGTCTTGCCAAGGACACAACGACAGTAGTCAGTGGGAGTCGATGGTGAAAGTCTTGAGCGGGGCTTGAACCCACGACCTTCTGGCTCAAAGGCCAACGCTCTACCAACTGAGCTACTGCCGCCCCTATATTTAATAATAACTATGTTTCCAACAAGAACTGTGTCTTTATTCACAACATCACAGTTGAAATGACTTATAAAATAATGAATCCATAAAACTATCACATAAACCTACAGTAGAAACACGTGTAATGAGCTCAAACAGCTTTGTTTGTTATTGTTGTTCTGAAGAGGACAAAGTAGCAGCGTAAAGGGCTCGACACACGGGAGGCGACAAATGAGAGCGATCAGCGAAACTCAACGCTGTCGCTCAGATAACATGACAGACGGGGCGCGATGCGGCTTGACGACAGCGTCGAAAAGTTGAGCCGATTTCAACTTTCTGGGATCGCGTCGCTGACCTGCGCGTGCACGATACATGCACGAGCGGGAGGATTTCACACGCACGTTTTTCGCCCGTCGCTGAGCAGGAGGCTCGCTAGCGATTGACGCTATGTTGCGCACGTCCCATTGAAAATGAATGGAGGCGATGCGATGTCGCCTCCCGTGTGTCAAGCCCTTAAATGGGACCGCTCCTGTGTGATCGCCCTCATGTGGTTTGTTGTGGGATTACAACATTCTCCTCAAAACTCCGTAAGGGGAACGCGCCAGTATAACATCAATTGTGCTTACGTAGGTCCACCGCAACCGCTAACGTAAGTCACGCCGCGCAAGTATACACTAGGCTTCAGTTTGTGTGTGTGTGTGTGCGTGCGCGTGAGACCTGAGCGTGATTGTCCACTCTCTCCGCAGCTGCATTGGCAGTGTGTCAAGCCCTTGAAGGGCTTGACACACGGGAGGCGACATTGCATCGCCTCCATTCGGACCGCTGGACCGGGTCCAGCGGATCCAGCTCAGTGGAGCACTGTACATAACGCCAGACAAGCTGAGTACTTACAGGGACGTGAACAAGCTGCCCCAGATTCTGTGTGTGTGCGTGAGACCGGTGAACGCCTGATTGCTCGCTCTCTCAGCAGCTACCCTGGTGTGGCGCACCAAGCCCCAGTGGAGCAGCAGACCCGGCCCAGCAGAGCGGAGCAGTGCGCCAGGCCCAGCCCAAGCCCCAGCAGAGCGGAGCAGCGCGCGCCAGCAGAGAGCGGCCCCAGCAGAGAGCGGCCCCAGCAGAGAGCGGCCCCAGCAGAGAGCGGCCCCAGCAGAGAGCGGCCCCAGCAGAGAGCGGCCCCAGCAGAGAGCGGCCCCAGCAGAGAGCGGCCCCAGCAGAGAGCGGCCCCAGCAGAGAGCGGCCCCAGCAGAGAGCTCCTCCTTAACCCTTTTTTTGACCAGACCTTAAGACCCTTTAGTCTTATTTTAAACTCTTAATTGGCCATTTTAATTAGCGCCATAGGGCATTTTATAATTATATTTATTAATAAAAGTATCTGAAGTCTAAGCCTGTGCATATTCATTTTTAAACAGTTACTGGTTGCTCCACACCTGACACATACTTTACCAGCAGTGACCCCAAAGTTATTGGAGGTTATTTCCTTGAGACCATGAGGGAGTTAGGTGGATGTGCTCGTATCCTGAGGACAGATATGGGGACGGAAAACTGCTCTGTACGAGATATGCAACGATATCTTCGTCGCAACGATGATGATGCTAATGCTGGTGACAAAAGCTTTATTTGGGGAAGAAGTACTGCTAATCAGAGGATAGAGAGCTGGCGTGGTATTCTCCGCAAAGAGTGTGTGGAGTTTTGGCTGGAACACTTCCATAGACTGAAAAATGAAGGAGATTTTGTTGGAGACTTTTTGGACAAAAACCTCATTCTGTTCTCTTTCCTTGGTTTGATACAGGTAAGTGGGTAAAATTTGACTGAATTGTGTACTGTAGATATGTCTAGCCTACTTTTTTGATTAATTTATCTCAAAGTGAAAAAAAAAAATATTTTTTATACTAATAAGTACATAAGTACTTATACATGAAGAATTCCTTTTTGTAAGGAAGATGCCGACACCCCCTTACTAAGTTGGTACTCAGTGACTTAGTCACACTTAAACATATGAATACACCCAGATGCCATTTATTGATTTAATCAATCAAATCTTTTATTTCTATAATACTTTTCATACACAAAGTGCTTTACAAAGTTAAAATAGCAGAAAAAAAACCCAGGAGAATAAAAGAGGACACACGCATCCTTACACACACGTATACACATACACGCAACCCAAAAACAAACACTAGAACTGAGTAAGTGATTGTCAGGAATTGTGTTTCTTTGGGTTTTTGTTGATGAATTGATTCACAAAAGATGGATACTAGGTCCAAACACTGAGTTTATTTTCAGTTGTTTTTTTTAAATTATAATCTCTCTCTATATATATGTGCCTCAATTAAAAACGGAAAGTTAGACTGGTTAGGACAAACAATAGATCATGTTATTGCAATTTTATGCCTTGTTCATTGATGAATTCCAATATATATATATATTTCTGTTTTTATTGTTTCCGCTGCAGGATGAGTTGGATTCCACCAAGGAATCATGGAACAGTCATGTGATTCGACCATCAAGAAATGACAATGTTCCTCATGGCCGTCCAAATGCAATGTACTTCATTCCTGAACTTTATGAGACTGAGGACTATCTGTGCCAAGTGTCAGAGGAAGCTCTTACCATGTGTGAGGATGACTGCATCCACCGCAGTGACATTGCTTGTGATGATGATGTGTTCACCCTCTGCACGCACATCATGGCACTAAACAGTCTGGATGTTCCTGCTGATGTGTACATGGCCATTGACCTCTACCTTTTCTTAAGAGGAGAACTGATCACACTTTTTAAAATCTTGATAGATAATATCAAATATATTTCTTTTCAGGTTGAAACAAACAGTCATTCTCACTTCCCGAAATGCATAAAATGAGATAGTTCAGATTTGCCCCCAGTTAAGACTTTTGGGATGGATACACTCCTAGGTGAACATTCAACCACATCTGTTAAGGAGTTGAATCACTTTGTGCAACAATGAATCTGATCAATCTGCTTATATAAATTTACAAGATTTCACATTTGTATTGTTAATATAAGTAAGCCCTGTGTGTGTGTGTGTGTGTGCACACGCGCGCACGCACAGAGGCTTCTTTCTTAATAAATATAGTAAAACATTGTCCTGCCTATACAGTATATTCTGTTATGTCACGTTCAGTATTTGTAATATTGTATTGACAGTTGCTATGATCCTGGGTTTGAATAACCCAGGAGCTTCTGAGAAGCCTTGTTTTTGATTGTGCATACCAGAATGGATTATTTGTGCTATTTGGAAGTTTTTACGTATTCATTTAATAAACAAAACACTGACAAATTAGTGCTATTCTTCTCATTAAAACATTACATACTATTCTACATCTACACTTTTATTATAAGTGTACATTGTAAGATTGTAGATTGTACTTATGTCCCTGTCACTGCACCCTCTGATCATTTTATGACTTCTGGTCCTTCTGTGCACCATATATGATCACTCCAATGCTGTTTTAACATTTCAAGTTTTCTAGATTCCCCCATGCCCCTTCAACGTCTGTCTCTGCAGGAACTTAGGCAAATGGGATGTGATGGGATATAGTGACAGTACCCATGTCGTCTGTTGACCTTGCCACCGCTGTCCTATAAAAATACACCCAAACATAGCCTGTACTGTTTTTTAATCTGTTTCAAGACTAGTTAACACTACAATTTGCCTTGATATGACCCATACTACTACATCTCACTGTAAGAACAAAGAAACAAGACGTAAACCTTTAAAACAATTTACTTTTTTTGCTGTCATCATAAATAGTAAACACAGCAACAGCAAACATTGTATTCAGTGCAGACAGAACAACACTCTTTACAGTTATAATACAGGAATTTTGAATGAGAACAGTGGGCACTTTTGCTTTTGATACATAGAAAAATGAAAACAATATTGTGGTGGTACTTTCCACAGTCTCTTCCACGGTCTCTTAAGTGCTAAAATGATTTCCTTTCATTAATTGTTCCTCTGTCATCTCATTAGCAGCATAGCAGTCAATCTGGAAAATGGAATTGAAAATCATGGTTAATTTTTCCCCTGAAACCTGACAAATAATTACAGGATAAAATCACAACATGTATCCGAAAAGCTTAATTTTCTTGTGAATGTTATAATTGTAAAAAAGAAAGGGCAAATATAATATAATATACAGTTGGCTCAGTAAGCACTTAACTGACTCCATGGACTTGATTGTATGGAAGGAAGTACGACCACATTAGTCCGGTCCTCAGGTCTCTGCACTGGCTTCCCGTGGCCCAGAGGATAGACTTTAAAGCAGCTCTCCTGGTGTACAAGTCTCTCCATGGCCTTGCACCAAAGTACATCCTTGATATGCTAGTCCCATATGAACCAGCCCGGACTCTGAGGAGCGCAGGGACGGGACTCCTGTTAGTGCCCAGAGTCAGGACTAGACAGGGGGAGGCTGCTTTTCAGATTTATGCAGCTAAAGTCTGGAACAGTCTTCCTGAGGATGTGAGACTGGCTGCCTCTCTGTCAATGTTCAAATCCATGTTAAAGACTTTTCTTTTTTCCTGTGCATACAACTAGAGAATTTTATCGTTTTAACACACCTTGTTATTTATTGTTGTAACTTTTTGTGTTTTTAACTATTTTATTGTTTTTAATTACTTGTGTGATTCTTATGTTTTTAAATTACTTATGTGATTTTAATGCTTTTTAATTACATATGTGTTTTTAATTGTATTTTAATGGTGATGATTTGTGCATTGTGTGGTGTGGACTGTGAGGCGCTTTGTGTTGCCCTGTGCAGGAAAAGCGCCCTATAAATAAAGATTGATTGATTGATTGATATTCTTTTGAGAATCAATCAATCAATCAACGTTTATTTGTAGAGCGCTTGTAGAGAAGTGTTCTTTCTGCCACATTAACATGTGACCACAGGTAACTCTATAGTTACTTAGTAAACTATGCTACAGCATTGGAAAAAATGTACAGTATGAGTACTGTACATTTTAGAATTCAGAAAAATATAGATTAGAATACCACATGTATTTCAAAATACACCTGAAACAATGGTAGATAAAAAAAGTAAACATTGTTAACACATGGTGATACAGCCACAAACCTAAAATGTATTAGTTGTTGTAATATTTTGAGCAACAAGTCCTTTACTGAGATTTGGTATGTGTGGATGTATCTATTATTTTCAGTGTATTATACCTTGCTTCAAGGGTGTCACATACCTTCTCATCTATGAAGCTTGCAATCACGGTCTCATCCAACCGTCGCTGCTCTCGCAAGAATTTCTGGAAATTTGGATCCATTCTGACAGATGAAAAAAAAAAAATCTGTCAAGCAAACAACACCACCAATAATAATAATAATAATAATAATAATAATAACAACAACAATAACAATAATAATAATAACAACAACAATAACAATAAAAATAATAATAACAATAACAATAACAACAATAACAATAATAATAACAATAACAATAATAACAATAATTACTATAATAATAACAATATCAACAACAATAATATCAATAACAATAATAAGAAGTTTGGATATCTGAAATGAGCTTTGAGTCATTATAGCCAAGGGGTTTTCACTAAATCAAAGGTTCAACTCTTCAGTTTTAATTTGCTTCAATAGCCTAGATTGATTCCCATGACACTTCCTGAAGGAATACATCACCAGCTACCATGACAACGATACATAGTTGAATCTGGGAAGCGACTATCAGTCAAAATAAAGCATGCTGGCAGCAGCCTACAACTTGACACCATCAAACAACATATTAAACATCAGTAAATACAAGCATATTGTAATGGGGAGAGCAAATTTATCTGGTTTGTAATGTGGGATTGTGACCACCAGGGGGCATCGGTAAGAATGCACTGCTTAGAGATGACCCAGTTCTTAATTGCACACTGATTTACAGCAGGTATCCATAACTATGTGGTGTGTGTGTTTGTGTGTGGTCCTGCAATAACAAAGAAAATCTAAATTAGAATAAGCTACTTCAAACAAAGCATTATGTAAACAAAGCTAGCACACCATTAACATTTAGCATACAGCAGTTAGCCTGTTAGCTCTTAGCAGCACTTAAAAACAAAGGAGCATACATTCAAATGTGCTTAAATATATATCTGCAGTTCACTTAAGTAATAATGGCCTTATAAACAGTATGCAAGAAAAGCAGGGTTCATTTCTGTGACTTCAGTCCAACCACTACTCACTTTTTTATAACGCACACAGGTCCGAAAAACACATCAGAGTTAAAT